CATGATATATGATATATGGGCGGGAACCACAGAACCACATGGTTAATTTTTCCTGAACGGCCCTCTGAATACCAGAAAAGGGGGTCCCTAGTCACACCTTTTTCACCAGTTTTTCAATCAAAGTCTATTTGTAAGGGTTACTGACGGTCCTAATCATGAATATGGTACTAATTATTCATGCTAACTCCATTTTGCGCGAATTTTGAAACGTCAACTCGAAATGCAAAAATTTGTCACCACGAGGAATCGAACTAGGGACCCCTTTTCTGGTATTCAGAGGGCCGTTCAGGAAAAATGAACCATGCTTCTGTGGTCCCCGCATATGTGCCCCAATGTCATGCAAGAAACCATTTTGAAAAAGCTTGGGCACATACCTGAACGACCTCCTTGTAAACCAGGTCCTTGGACCAACTTGGCCCAACCAAATACAAATGGAAGCTGCTGCCCAAGCTCACCTAGCAAAAGTAAGGCATGTGTACCAGCGTAAAATAACTTAGGTTACTCTTTAGACGAATTTTGACTGAGAAATCCGTGAAAGTGCATCACATAAGGTAAAAATCATAGCATAAGCATTTGGTCAATCTTTTTGGGGATGCGCCACGCACACTACTTCCATTCACAGTTGCAGTAAGCATTTGAATGCGTTCTGGCCGAACGATAAATTGCGAGAGGCAAGCTGATGTGAAATCCAGCGTTTTTATTACCGGAATATGGTAGTGAGTATAGAGCATCCGACCAAGATTGGTAATATACTCTTTCCAGCGCGCCGTGGTTATTTTGAAGAGCAGTTCCTCTTTTTTCGAGTGGTCCGTCGGTTGATGACAAGGAACGGTCATTCAGCGTGGCAACTTTATCAAAACGGTCTTTTACATTATATAGGGCGACATGCGGGAACACAACCGCATGGTTATTATTCCAGGGGCCGTAAGGTATGCTTCCCCGAAGGGTTAGGGGACGAAAGTTCCTTTAAATTTTCTCTGTAGTCCCAACTGGGATTGTCCTGATATAAAGGGCCTACATCTAATATATGTGTGTAGCTTAAAGTAAGCATGCATTGAAAATAAAGAAACAGTATCGTTCAAAACAAAAAATTTAAAGGGACTTTCGTCCCCGCAACCATTCGGGGAAGCATACCTTACGGCCCCACCAGAAAGGGGGTCCCTAGTCACACCTTTTTCACCAGTTTTTCAATCAAAGTCTATTTGTAAGGGTTACTGACGGTCCTAATCATGAATATGGTACTAATTATTCATGCTAACTCCATTTTGCGCGAATTTTGAAACGTCAACTCGAAATGCAAAATTTGTCACCACGAAGGAATGAACCGCGGTCTTGAGAACAACTTGCACCAAACATGAAACAGCTGGCCAGTAACCAGCAAAACGGCAGTGTGTCCGCTAGCTTAGCACTATTTGATTCCAAATTCGCCTGAATGTAGGGAGCATAGAAAAAATAAGCATTTGGTCAATCTTTTTGGGGATGCGCCACGCACACTACTTCCATTCACAGTTGCAGTGGCATTTGAATGCGTTCTGGCCTGAACGATAAATTGCGAGAGCAAGCTGATGTGAAATCTACGTTTTTATTACGAATAGAATAGTAGTTAGTACTGAGCTTCCGACCAAGATTGTCAATAGCTTTATTTGGCCGACGTTTCGGTGCTTTCACCTTCTTCAGAGCCTGGAAAAGTCGAAAGCCATTTAGGAAACTACCCGTCCAAACACTATTTCAACCTACAAGATCATTCAACAGGGTGTAAACTACTAAGGCGACGTCGTGGACAAGCTTGAGAACGAAATTTCAGAATTGCTGCCATGGTCCACCTGCTACTATTTATACCTCTCAGCACAGGTTCGTACCAGTCAACCAGCCCAAAGTGTGCACAGGAGACTCACGGCACCCCTGCATGCTAAGCATGAACTCTCGACCAGTCGTATACGTGGGTTTAGTAATTATAGTCTCACCCTCAATTTTGCCTTTTCGAATACACAGTCGTTTAGGATTGTCGGCGGGATCCCTCTGCTCGATACCCCGTATCCCTTGATTTTGCAGCAGCAACCATTTTTCTGAGCTTTCCTTATACACGGTTTTTTTCGATATTTTGCACCGTTTCATAATTAGATTCACGCCTGAAAAATAAACAGTTCATTTATGTTTAAAAAATCTTGACTCCGCCACTTTGCAGAGCGACAATCGAAGGATACGTTAGAATAGGTTTATAAAGCTCTTGTTTGTCGATTCCCGTTTTAAGACTTTGATGAAGCTGTTTCATGCAGAAATTTTATTTATTTATTTATTTATTTATTTATTTGATGCATGCATAGGTGCATGTATAGCCCATAGGATACCCATGTGCAAATAAAGTTCAACTGATCTCATTTCGTAAGGAACGAGAGTACTATGCAACTGAGAGAAAAATAATAATTTTTGTCCAATCGAAGAAATTGTTGAGCAGATCAACGTGTTCACCACTGATGACTCTAGATAGGCGGATGGCGCTAGGGATAACGCCACTCCTAGACGAGCTCGGAGCATACGTACGGAATCCGAAACTGAATTTTCGGATGTTAGGTATTCCCTACCCCTAACAATTCAGTTTCGGACCCGGCTTGGAAAATTAATTCAATCCAGAACAACCACCTGAACTCAACAAAGTAGAGCTTCGTCATAAGAAAGAAAATCCGTAGATATTCGCAATCATCCTTGTAGAGATCTCTTCCCAAACTGTAAGGTCAATCAGTTCTCTACTTTCAAGTAACCGGCCACTACTGGACACTTACGTTTTGGAAATTCAGCCAATCTTCCGCTGAGAGACTCACGTGGGCGTCAGATTTTCCTGTGGAAAGACATAGTTTAGACGATTTCGCAGGCTTGGAGAAGGCGCTATTAGATGTTGCTGTTGGGCTTTTCGGTAATCGGTGGATTCCTCGCAGGCCACTAAGGGAAGTTTCATCATAACATCATTAAAGAAAGCAACCCAGACTTTCACACTTCATTCACTGAAATGACGAGACTAAACCCAAACACGTTGCCTGTCGAAAGTTTAATCCGAAAGCGGCTTTGTTTTCGTTGGAGCTGCTCTAATTAACGTTCTCAACTAGAAAGCAACTTAATGGATTAATCGAGTTGTAGCAGTGCCATCGTGACGAAAAGGCTTACCTCTAGCGAATCTACTACCCTAAAATCCCATAGATAAGAGCGGTCCATAGATATTTTTTCAAAAATAAAATAAAAATAAAAATATTTTTTCAAAATCATTTTTTACCGGTAAATTAAACCGCTCTTATCTATGGAATTTTACTGATCGAATGGGCTCTTCAAGTTCTATCCAGAGATCAAATTCCGGCATTTCTAGAGAGATTCCGGCAGAAATTCCGTTAAAATCGCTATTTTTCTATATGAATTGTTTATTAAGTGGGCGGGGTTTAGAGTTGAGGGGCGGAGCTTCTTCTAAACTTCTTCTCCGATTTTTATTTATCCATCCATCAAGTTAGAGGGGTGACTGCATTCAATTTCAATTTCATTCCAATTCATTTTTCACCGGTAAATTAAACCGCTCTTATCTATGGGATTTTAGGGTAGTTCATATATTGAGTGGTTGGAGTTGTGGATTTCTGTTGTGGCCAGTGGAGCCATCGGTATGATCTTCACGCTGACAGATGTTCTGCTTCTTCTTACAAACGCGAACTTCATTTTCGAGCAGAAAATGTTTATTATGAACGAATCGAGATTATCAGAAGGTAATGTTTGGCACTGCTATTCAAAATTTT